AGCGGAAGATTGAGCGAGTTGTGAAGAGATTTGCCCTAAACGTAATCCGTAATCCGAAAATCCGGAAACTGAAACTAACGTAACGAAAGAACTGCCTCTCACAAAACGCTAACTTTCACACCCACTCAATGCAACACTTAATTACCGAATCCCTTCATCTCGACCCTAAATATTGAACTGACAGGAACCTACTGCCATTGAAACAGCTGTATGCTATTTGGTAGTTTATTTCCTGGTTGGAATCGTGCAATCGACTCTGATTGATTTTAACAGACATTTTCTAGTGAATTTGGAAAGGGTTTTGGCGCTTGATTCTATTCACATACTTATCAAGTAGTAGTTCGCAGGCATAATGGATGACAGCTTGCGACAGGTCTAGTAATGCAGAAAGTGTGATCACATTCTTAAGGCCAGTGCACATCATTAATGCACAGATTGACATATTCTTATAAAACTTTAAGGACCACAAGATTCGGGTTCTCCTTTACCTATATACGACTCAAGAGAAGTTTATATGTAGACATAAACGTGTTTCTTTAAAAAAAGCTTTCTATTTATATGAGCCAGTATTAAATATTAACAACGCCGACGTATGTCCTACATTTGACGCACTTCACAAATAATACCATAGGTCTTAAATACAATATTTATTTTTATTTTTGACTTACCCTGCCAAAGACATTCTGTTTAATATATTCATTTTGTAGGGTTATATCAAGATCAATAGATACGTGCAATCAGACACCGTTGTGTCGAACTTTGGTGTGTCGAACTTACGTTTGTCTCGAAGTAAAACATTGGTCCCTGCGTATTCTATCTTTATTTATTTTCAGTTGCGTCAAACCTCGGATAACTCTTAGTATTTACGTATCTCTCTTTAACGATGTTTGACTATTTATATTAATACCTTCAAAGATGCTACTATAATTATAATATATGTTTAAAGCTTACATCAATGGGATACACTGTACCAAAACAAACTCTCAAAATATCCATTTTTTATTTCATTTGAGACCATATTCCCATGTCTATTTTCTTCGTCGCAACATGAACATGTCATGCATGTATCCTAGAAAGGGAGGAATCTATTAGTGACTGAACAGCTGGGCTTAGTGGAGAAAGAATGAAGTGACTGTTCCCTCATATGTTCACTTCAGCCAAAGGCTACATTAAGTAAGGATAATAATTTATGGATGAACAACTTCTTTATAACAATTATCAAGCAAGTGTTAGAACCTACACCGAAACGTCGCTCTTAATTGTAATAAAGAAGTTGTTCATCCATAAATTTGTATCCTTTTTAGTACTCCAACTTCTAAATGCCTATCAAAGAAGTTAAAGACTAATTTGCCTAATGAACTCCTAACTCCGAAAATCCGACTTTTGTGTCCCATATTCAGCAACATACAATCCTTCCCTCTATGAATGGCTTCGTATTTGATTTACAAACTTGACGAACATTATCTCAGTATCAAATATACATGATTTTTTTTTCACTTACCTTTTCACTATTAATACCAATACACGTTAGCCAATCTCAAATGTTGTGAAAAAGCAGCTTTTACACTGTTTGAAAAGAGAATATTGCATCCTTAATTTCTTCACTGATCCCGTGACATTGGGGGTTATCTTATCCCTCAGCTTTATAACGGCATTCCAACCTTGTGTTTTTATTTTCCAACACTATTGTCGTGTGGATTGTTTATGAAGGTTGTTCACAGTCTCTCACACCACACTTAACACACATGACAAGCAGTATCCCCTGATATAGGGCTTTTGTAATGTGGTTCTCATTACACATCAGTTTGACGCACGCCGTCAGTGTAAATACGAAAATCCGTAAATCCGAAATCCTTGATTGAAGCCTTGGATCGAGAGAGAAGTTGTGTCCAACCTGGTACAGGGGATTCCCCTATTGCTCACATGTAGCTGAGAGGTCTTGATTCAGTCAGGTAGGTTCAACAAACAGAGTAGTGCACTTCGGCGTCATATAAAGTTAGATACAGACAACATGGGGAATCTAGTCTCGTGCTTCTCAGGACTTCAGTATCAGGTACGTCTTAATAACTTTCTTCTATGAAGATGTTTATACACTTAAGCTAGCAGTAATATAACATGTACACAGAATTCAATCCTCAGCTTAGTGCATTTTGTATGCTTAATAGTGGATATACAGTAACAGAGCTATTGACCAACGTGATATTGTGTGCTTTTCGTTCTAGAGAATGCACCAGTCGAACAACGAGCTGATCGAGTATTGCATCCATCAGAACATAGGGAGAGGTGCGTTAAATTCCCATTTTAAAAAGATAATTGTGTAAGACATTGAACGTCTCAATTTGAAAAATTTAATTTCAGAAATTTGGTTATATATCCCATTTGTTCAGTATTACTATAAACTTTGTGGTCATTATTTTGACGACATAAACGTATATCAGAGGATATACACAGTTTCTTTTTCTGTCATTTTGTAATGATGATTATCGATCAGTATTTGAGATACGTTAATTCGATATCACATATCAATCAAACAATAAACAGAACCTGTTTATATGTGGTGATTTTGGCGTTACGTCAAGTAATACAGATTTGTGTGTAGGTTCAACACGTCGTGTGAACGAGAGACTGAAGACTCCTGTAACTCCACAAGATCTCGGACTTGTTGCGAGACATATCGGGATCGGCTTTGAGCATGTCGGGATTGAACTTGGGCTCAGCATTGTGGCTATCCAACATGGCAAAGTTGCACACCCATGTTCAATGTATATGCAGGTCTTGATTATGCTCACTTAATGGAAGCAGTGGAATGGCAGTTCGGCCACCTATCTGGTCCTGGTCAAAGTACTCTGGACATGTAAAGAGAGATGCACGATCGAATGGGAGGACATTCTCAACATCCTGCAGCTGCGGTCCTCCTTGTCAGTGTAATTGCAACTCGGTCGGAGAAATATTACAAGAAATGAAACTGTGTTTTTATGATTTCTAAAATGGCTACCGTCATACCTTTAGCTTGTTCAGAGATATTGCATATAATCAGTCATCATGTTTGGGAAATCTATATATTTATCAAGTCATTGTTTCTTTGTGTTTTCTGCATTTGCAAGTTTACCCCAAGAACACGTGGAGTCAGATTGTACCAATGGCGGCTCCTACCGGTTGGGCAGGACATGCGTACACTTTCACAAGACGTGGTGTCATCAATAATCCATTCCCATAGTTTTCGCCGCTCGTTGCCTTTTACACCCAATGGAATGTGTTTCGGTGGATATCCGAGACTGGTTATTCTCTGGCGTTGACGTTTTATATTTATTGAATTTAGAATGCTACGATTTCGATTTTACATGTGAAATATCTCCCGGAAATAATGACAGTTGATAGTGATGCTTTTAATAAAGTCAGAATCGTAAAATGGAGTCTGCTTACAACAGAGATTTCTTGTGATTATGTAAAGGGTTTTGTCGCTCTTATCCATACAAACATCTCTGACGAATTCAAATACCTCCACCTCACAGTGATAGCAATGATAAATTAGTCAGAAATTCACAAACTGTCTTAATTAAATTGAATAAAAAACTGATTATTCAAGTCAGTAATCGTATTCGTAATTCGTAATTCGATCACAGTGCTATACAACCTTCATATTGTACATCGTTTCAAATATTCAAACCGTCCCTCTGTTTATATCACTAGAAACAGCACAAGTAAGGGTATACGTTTTCTCTCCCTTTCTCACAACCTGAACAATAGGTTACAGGTACAATGGTTGTGGTGATCAAAAGATCAAAATTTCATGTACATGAGGTGAAGAACAAATTTGCTTCATGGTATGATTTAAAACAGGAAAATACTATTTCCATTCTGGAAAATGAGTTCAACACAAAACAGAACATTTAAAGCTGTTCAAACATCAGTGCACTTCATTTCATTATACCTTTCGTCATTATTACGTACATTTGCCACATTCAGACACAAAGTCATTTAAGCCCAGTACGAACAACTACAGGTGATGCCTCTATTGACAATACGCCTGTCAGCTTTTTACCCACAGTATCCAAGTTTCGTCAGAATAACTTCCGTATCAAATGCTAACATAATATCTGAAAACAGAGTTGCCTCCCTTTGACAAGCTACCGTAAACGTGGTATGCATTATTCAACCTTTTCTATCCCTGGCATTGTCTACAACTGACTTTGTTGACTGGATACAAGACTGGATAATGTTTATAACGGCTTACGATAGTATTCCAGTTATATCACGGCGTGACAGCTGAATGTGAGAGGAAAGCCCAAGTGATGAATGTCTCAGACGTTTACCACTTCGGTGAAACCCAAGAGCACGGGTATGGTGCTGACAAACCTAGAAACATAAACTGGGCGAACATGGATTCGAACCCACAATTAGAGGTCTCTGGCGTGCCCAAGGGGCGCAACTCTGCACAGCGAATCACGGCGCCTTAGACGGCTCGGCCATTCGTACCCCGAAAATCTTCAGACCTGACTTCACAAACAATATTCAGTACACGTTTGCCAAGCATAAATAAGGAGGCATATTTTATTTTTTGCCCTTATTTGATTCATTCTCTGTAGAGGTGAGGCAAGGCAAAATGAGGTTTGAGGTTTAACGTTGCGTTCAAGAATATTGCACTTATATGAGGTGACGTGCATGCACGCGTGTGTGTATATGTATGTGTGTCTGCTCATGTAGTTTTTACAGAGCAAGCCACTGATACACCATGCCGAAGTTTTAACATTACTACCCCACTCTGACACAATATACTGACCACAAATTGACCAGTCTTATCCCCTTAATACTGAGCGCCAGGCGGGGTGACAAGACCACCACAATTAAACGTTACTGGGCAGATACTCTCTCCCTTTACGCAGATGCTTAACGAAGTTCAGGTGTGGTATACATACCCTCAATATACAATTATACAGACACTCCAAAGATAATGATGTTTTAACATCGACGTGTCCTTTCTGCAAATATAACCAAGAAAATGAATACCATGTTTTATTGATATGTCCAGTATATGAGGATATAAGAATCAAATACCTGCCTAACTATTATTATACGTATCCATCACAAAGAAAATCTGTACAGTTAATGAACAGCAAAAATAGCCATATTCTTCTCAGACTTGTGTGTGTTTATAAGATATTTGAAAGAAGGATAATATATACATTGAATATAAATAAAACTGTGTACACCATATTTAGCTACAATCTAATCAGTATACAAGTGGTGCTTCACGACGAATTACAACAAAATGTCATTGTACTATTGGCCTCGAGGCCACACATACGAAATAAATCGGTCTAATACTCTATCCATAAGACAATGGAGGCGATCTAGCCCACTCTATTTCAGAGCAAGGTATTTACAAATACTTGATCATCACACATGTATTGTGCTTGCAAAACATGCTGCTTATTTATGCCATGTAACCTGGATAACTTCATTCAAATGTCAGTTTGTTTTGGTTTGGTTTTGCGTATTTTCTTTATTTGATTATAATCAACAAAGACACTTATTTGTCTTTTTCACAGGGAAAGTGTATATTTAGATCAGGATAGTGCCTGAATATAGTTTGTGATTGGTTCTGATTGTGATACACGCTGCACTGGTATGGGCTGTCTGTGTGACTTCACTGCGTTTGGATAAGCACCTTGTTCTACCTGTATACATATTCAGATATATGAACATAAAGGAACAATCGGACCCAATTGCCTCGAACTTCTGGGGACCAAAGAAATAGTTCGAGTTATTCGAACTATTTGAATTCGACCTGGATCTTGATAAGTTTTACCTTTCAACTTTGGGGACTATAAATTGAACTCAAAACACTCATGTCGAGCATTCAGGTAACAATACTATAAATATGGTAAGATTTTGGACTGTGATTTCGCCTGGACCCTGGAATCGGCACATCCGAGTTCAAGACATCGGGGTTCGACTGTATATGTACGTCTGCATAACATCATAACGATTTTCATATGTTTGTCACATGAATGACACTGGTGACATTTTAGAAATTAACAGTAATCGTTACTGTATGTTTATACTGTATGGCACAGTGTTACGAGGGGATTTCCGAATTGACACGCGAAGGTTAACTTAGAAAACGGTTCAAACTATATTGCCAAATCAGTAAATCAGCATACAATATAAATGAATAAAAAACAACTTCTATTGAAAAACGTAATTGTAGGTCTACAGTCACAAAGGGGTTAAACAATGGGTCAACTATGGGCAATACATAACAGGCCATTTAACTAATGCAGCACTAACAAGAGTTATCTGATGATAAAAGTATATTACTTAAACCATGAATGTTAGTACAATAATGCTTCCAACATCTTGCGCTCCTTAGATACGTTTTCAGATACAATGTTTGTAATAAAAACGATATCTTACGGGGATTCGTTCAGTGATCTATCACATAATATGTCACATAAGAATATGTCAGATATCATGGAAGAATGTAATACTGGTTGGTTTTGCCCATGACTATATAGTCTGTATTTGTTTAAGGGACACAGCTCAAAGAATTCTATTTGATCTTAGCATTTTCATGTGTGCCAAGACATCATGGAAATTAATAGGATAAATTGCTTTGAAATAAAACAATCATTATATTCCTGAATATGAGGTCACCGTGAACATACTTTAAAGTCTATATTGCATGTACAACATGTTACATGGCTTCGTATTGGGTGTGAGACTTCACAACTCTGACACTGGAAATGGTGCAGAAACAAATCAAAGTGACAATACCGACTATGATAGAAGACACCCACGTGTTCCTGCAAGTACATATTTTACACAGCGACATGTAGCTGCAAACATTCATTGTGTACGTCAATCTGAACTCACTCCCACTAATTTCAACAAAACACTTTGCTTTAAGAAAGTTCGGAACACACTAAAATCTGCATATGTCCAGTTATAAACATTTGTAAGAAACTGTTATGTAATCTTCTAAACATTAAAGTTAGCCATGTTCCTAGAATTTGTAACGTACAATGAGTTTTTCATGGAATCGAGATGCGAACAGAAACGTCAAAACTACATTGACACAAATCACTCCCACGGGGGTACGGGTGGCCCAGTCGTCTAAGGCGCCGCGATTCGCTGTGCAGAGTTGCGTCCCTTGGGTACACCAGATACCTATGATTGTGGGTTCGAATCCAGGTTCGCTCAGATTATGTTTCTAGGTTTGTCATAACCATACGCGTGCTCTTGGGTTTCACAAATAACTCGTTATTTTCTGCAAACCGAATTCGGACGACTGACCCCTAATGGAGGTTGTAAAACTGTATATGTATACTGTAACATTGGACACATCATAATAACAATGATAACTCCTTTCTAGACCACTTTTAGAGCTGCAGCAGCTCTATCTTTTCCCCAGACTCAGTGTAGTGAATGATGGTATTCTCAGAATTACTAGTGGTATCTGAACTAGGCAATGTGTCACCAACTACTGGAGCATGGACATAGGTGGGAACATGACTTGAGATTCCATATATGGTTTCTGATCTTTGATTGGGTGAACGTATCTCCATGTGTGCAGGATCTGTAAGGAGGTTGTTAAGATTTCCGTCTATATGATATGGTTGGGATGACTGCAAGGCGATCTCTTCCATAACACTTTGTCTGTCTGTGGAAACTGCTTGTCCCAGTTGACTCGGAACATAAACCCCTGGCAATTCTTCTGATGTGTGGTTCACGGGACACGTTGATGTTGGTGGTGTGGATGTAAGCCAACCGCCATTGTTATAGCTTCCGTGTGGAACTGACGATGATTTCATAAGAAACTGGCCATCGGTTGTCACCCTGAAACAATACCACATGCACTTGACACAACATTTCAGAGAAAATAGGACTTAATCAAAATAGTGATGCTATTGTGACATATAATACAAAATCAAGATGTAAAAGCCTCCAGCGCTTTCGAATTCGTATCTAATGAAAAAGGCTCCAAACTAAATGGAAGCCCCACATACTCATAAACGTAAACCAACGAATCATTCAATATTATACACAGTGAAGCCTAATTAAGTTCAAATATTGGTTAACATAATTTCAGTGTTTTGGCAAAGTCCCCATTGACATATGTAGCCCATGGAGAATAAGGTTACACTTGGAACAAATAGCAATAGAGTTCATTTCATCACAATGCATTTCTACAAGGTCCCCAAAACAACATACTTAAAGTCCCCAGCAATCCCAGTTTGGGAAATATGTCTAATTTACATAATCCAATATGGCAACCATCTGTCAATAGTATTTTCCTTATTTCAGATGAGGTTCAATGTTTTGATGAAAAACAGCATGTGTTGTGTTGCAAAATAGCCATATTATGTTTCTAAAAAGATATTCACAACTATTGATCGTTTTCGACTATTGACAAATCTACAAAACATCAAGATGGCTGGCAATTTCAAGATGGCCGACACATTTCCTAAATATGAGGTTAGGCTGTGGAAGCTTTTATCTCTGAAACAGTGTGCTGGGACATATATGCATAAAACTTGTCACACTAACTGACTGGCCCAAAAATCCAAGATGACCTCCAAGACATGGACAGACATGGAATATCAATACACTGTTGGTCTCTCATCACATATTTGATTGATTGATTTGGGACTTTTAGTATGTTGTTTCGGGGGCCTTGTAGAAATGCTCTGTCCATATTCTTTTTTAGCTGAAATAGATATTTGATATATGTCTGATGGTACTGTCCTCTTCGAGGTCTCATATGGTTTCGTGAGGTTTCAAAACTGTTCTGCAAAACAGCGTATACAATATATGTGTTTGGGCTGTCAACTCAAGCATCATTTCCATATTGCTCTTACCTATCCATAATTGTACTATGGCTGCTTGTCAGGTCATGTATATTTGTTGCCTCAGTTATAATCCTTGCAATATCATCGTGATGTTGTGCCTCTGCTTTTGTAAAGCAGTTTCTTCTTTATCGTCTTTCTCATCCACATTTGCCTTGTTCTGTAATAACACCTCCACAACCTCCCTATGTCCCCGGTAGGCTGCAAGATGTAGAGGTGTGCGGCCATCATCACGTTTATCATCCACATTTGCCTTGTTCTGCAAAAACACCTCCATAACCTCCCGATGTCCCTTCCTGGCTGCATCATGTAGAGGTGTGCTGCCATTATCACGTTTATCATGCACATTTGCCTTGTTCTGTAATAACACCTCCACAACTTCCCTATGTCCCCGGTAGGCTGCAAGATGTAGAGGTGTGCGGCCATCATCACGTTTATCATCCACATTTGCCTTGTTCTGCAAAAACACCTCCATAACCTCCCGATGTCCCTTCCTGGCTGCATCATGTAGAGGTGTGCTGCCATTATCACGTTTATCATGCACATTTGCCTTGTTCTGTAATAACACCTCCACAACTTCCCTGTGTCCCTCCCAGGCTGCATCATGTAGAGGTGTGCGGCCATCATCACGTTTACCATCCACATTTGCCTTGTTCTGTAATAACACCTCCACAACCTCCCGATGACCCTTCCAGACTGCATCATGTAGAGGTGTGCGGTCATCATCACGTTTGTCATCCACATTTGCCTTGTTCTGTAATAACACCTCCACAACCTCCCTATGTCCCCGGTAGGCTGCAAGATGTAGAGGTGTGCGGCCATCATCACGTTTGTCATCCACATTTGCCTTGTTCTGTAATAACACCTCCACAACCTCCCTATGTCCCTGGTAGGATGCACGATGTAGAGATGTGCAGCCTTCCTTATCTTTCTCATCCACATTTGCCTTGTTCTGCAATAACACCTCCATAACCTCCCGATGTCCCTTCCTGGCTGCATCATGTAGAGGTGTGCTGCCATCATCACCTTTCTCATGCACATTTGCCTTGTTCTGTGATAACACCTCCACAACCTCCCTATGTCCCCGGTAGGCTGCAAGATATAGAGGTGTGCGGCCATCATCACGTTTATCATCCACATTTGCCATGTTCTGTAATAACACCTCCACAACCTCCCGATGTCCCTTCCTGGCTGCATCATATAGAGGTGTGCTGCCATCATCACCTTTCTCATGCACATTTGCCTTGTTCTGTAATAACACCTCCACAACCTCCCTCTGTCCCTGCCAGGCTGCATCATGTAGAGGTGTGCGGCCATCATCACGTTTGTCATCCACATTTGCCTTGTTCTGTAATAACACCTCCACAACCTCCCTATGTCCCCGGTAGGCTGCAAGATGTAGAGATGTGTGGCCATCATCACGTTTGTCATCCACATTTGCCTTGTTCTGTAATAACTGATCCACAACCTCCCTCTGTCCCTGCCAGGCTGCATCATGTAGAGGTGTGTGGCCATCATCACGTTTGTCATCCACATTTGCCTTGTTCTGTAATAACACCTCCACAACCTCCCGATGTCCCATCCTGGCTGCATCATGTAGAGGTGTGCGGCCATCATCACCTTTCTCATGCACATTTGCCTTGTTCTGTAATAACACCTCCACAACCTCCCTCTGTCCCTGCCAGGCTGCATCATGTAGAGGTGTGCGGCCATCATCACGTTTGTCATCCATATTTGCCTTGTTCTGTAATAACACCTCCACAACCTCCCTCTGTCCCTGCCAGGCTGCATCATGTAGAGGTGTGCGGCCATCATCACGTTTGTCATCCACATTTGCCTTGTTCTGTAATAACACCTCCACAACCTCCCGATGTCCCTGCCAGGCTGCATCATGTAGAGGTGTGCTGCCTTCCTCATCTTTCTCATCCACATTTGCCTTGTTCTGTAATATCACCCTCACAACCTCCCTATGACCCTGGTAGGCTGCATCATGTAGAGGTGTGCTGCCATCATTACGTTTCTCATCCACATTTGCCTTGTTCTGTAATAACACCTCCACAACCTCCGTATGTCCCTGCCAGCCTGCATCATGTAGAGGTGTGCTGCCATCATCACGTTTCTCATCCACATTTGCCTTGTTCTGTAATAACACCTCCACAACCTCCCTATGTCCTTGCCAGGCTGCATCATGTAGAGGTGTGCGGCCAGCATTTTCTGTCACATGACTTATTCCCTTGTTCTGTAATAACATTTTAACAACTTCTGCATTCCCATATATACATGCCAAATGAAGTCCAGTTTCACCCTTCTTGTTTGGATTACCAATTGCCACTGATTCCTGTAACAGGTAGCTTACAATGCTAACATTTCCAACTGCACATGAGTAATGTAAAGGTGTTGATCCTTCAGGACCTATGATATTGATGCTACGTTTTCCCTTCTTTATAACTATATCCATGATATCTTTGCCCTTTATTATACTGTTTAATCCCCCAATGCTTTCGGTTCAAAGGGAACGCTTGTAATTTCAAATCAAAGCAGGATCCGCTGCACATCACATATCCATCATGAGGAGAATATCTCGGCTGTTAGCAATGACTGACAATTGAACTGATGATGTACTAGATTTTGTGCACAATGCCCATTGCAGGTGAGTAGTGTTATCATTGCATAATCGAGATGCATGGCAATGAGTTGATAATTAGCACTATTATATTAATTGATGGTTAACTAATACTGGTGTAAAAAGAAGAAACTGTCAAACGTTGCTGTATTAATCTTAAGACGGGGGCTCATGGTCCAAGGCGCCGCATTTCGCTTTGCAGACTCGCCATGGGAATCAACAAAGTGGTAAACGTCTAAGATATGCTTCACTTTGGAATTTCTTCATAATTTAATCCAACTCACCATGACACTACTGTTCAAAGAGGCGTTTAACCAAACTCACGCTCTACCTTGCCTACATCAAGGCACTATCAATGAGTATTACGTGACTGAACCACTCACCACCCTCACGCCCTCAGTTAATACCTAATACTGACATCATTTGATGAAATCGAAAGCCTCCCATGCTCTATGAAATGATTTTCTTGGATAATTAACTACGCATGTAGTTTGTGTGATTGTGTAAATAGAGCAGATGGACTACTTACTTCATCTGTCAGCCAGTCGTTGGTTTCCAGGCGAGACAGAACATCTCCTCTGATGGTGTAGCAGCCAACTGTGTATGTACAGTTACGTGACAGGGGGACGTCCTCTTGTACATGCTGCGGGTGTGAAGGAGGATCCTTCAGTGTTTTCAAAAAGTCCTGTACTTCAGTCCTGGTATGGCATGCTCCAACAAGTACTGCTGCGATGAGGTTTATGTAAACTGACCGGTCTTGGTTCAAGCTCAGAACGTCAGTATTTACAGAACATTTAACCCAGTTCCTTGCTTTTATTGCATCTAGATTCCAGTTCTTGTCGACCTCTTCAATGAGTGACAAGCATGCGTTGTCTTTGTTGGTACAGTCCTTGTTCCAGAACCTTGATAAAGATAAAACCTGTTGCACGACCCTTATCACATCACGATTCCTTTCTACATCTTCTAGAAATGTGTACAGATAAGCGTAGGGTGTGTTAGTGACACAGGTTACAACTGTGTTGTCATTGTCAACTTGAGGCTGCAAACGGAGTTTCTTGACAGGGGAGCCTGACGTTGTATCCAAATATTCAATGTCATCATCACCTCTATGATCTCCTGTCCTGCTGCGTTTCTGATTTGTGTCATGATCATTCTTTGTTTCAGTCTCTGACACCTTTGCTTCATTCAATGTTACACCTAGAATAGTGTTTGATTTACCGTTGTCTTCCAATTCTGTCGGTGATGAATGATCTTCAGGGTCCAGGTTTGAGTTAGTGTTCTCCGTGACACCCGACTGCACAGCTCCACCAGTTGATTCTACTTTTCTACGTTTACTGTAACCTGGGGAATTAACTGTCTGTTGACCACGCTTCTTACGTTGAGGAGCAGGCTGTGCTTGTGTGTGGTCCCCGATATATTGCACTAGGACGTGTTTCAGAGGCTGGTTGTACAGATACGATGCTTCTCTGACAAAGGCCCTTGTTGTTGCCTTGTCCTCGGTGTAAGCCTTGTGGTACTGCTTCACTATGACTGGACTTGAGCTAGGCTGCTTCCGGGTTCCATCACTTCTGAAGTGATATTTGTCGTCCTTCCACACGTCTGTAAATATAATGTAACATCATGAGTCTCATGACATTGCAAGCGTTGTTGTTATCCTGACGATGAACCGTCCGTCAAGAAGCTTTGAATGTTAGTGTGTCACGTGTGGTGTAGGTATTAATTAATGAAACCTAAATGCAAAGTCGACTTTGTTTGTCATGGGCCAACGGACACACCACACTCATAGAACTGTAAGGTCATGCATATATGTTGTATTAGAGGTTGTAATGATAAATATCATGTCATCGGGCATATGGGTGCACATACCTTAAACCACATACCTTAAAACAATACAAATTCTTGTTTAGCTTATATTGATCAGTTGAACAATTGACTTCCTACATGTAAACATTGGATAAATGTTCGTTAAAGTACACGGTTATTGTAAAGGGGATAAAAAGAGAGAGAAGAACAGAAACAGAATATATTAGTAGTTGAAATAATGATATGGACGATTGAGCTGAATTGGCAGTGATTTATGTGTAGGATAAAACACGTCTGAGGGTCTTTATGAGAGTTAAGACCGGAATCGAAGGGATTAAACTGAGGGGCGCCAATATGGGCCTACAATATGTGTTGCTAGCGTAAGGGTACTTGAAAAATACATTCTTGAAAACATTTAACCGCCTCTGTCGCCTAGTGATACACTCACTGGGCTGCAGATACGAAGATTACGTGTTCGATCCCCGGAAGTTTAATTTGTCATTTGATTTTACATTTCATTAAATTGTTTTGTTAAATTGCAAAGTAACTTCTCCTAGCGAGTAACATGCATATGCTACAATATAAACGCAACTTCAATTAAAATATCTCTGTGACATTATAGCATCCTTGTTAATGAAATTTAACCCATTTGGAGAACAATATGAAGATGTCACTGGAGGTTTATTATGCATGGCAGTTACTCGTTAACAATATTAGCGAACATAAAATCTATTATCACGTCATGCAGAGAAATACTGGAAACCTACATGTATATACATGTGGTTTTTGAGGACATTCATCGTGTGTGTTTAACAAACCTTTTGAATTCAAATTATATTATACATAATATAAGTTTTCCATGGACTATTAACCTTTTTCTATATATCGATCCCTGCCTCATGTTAGCATTAAGCGTGAACACAACTGACTCACCTTCTCTCATACCCGATGCTATCTTATAGAGGTACACCTGTCCTCCCTGAGGTGTGGCGGGGGCAGTCTGGATGGTCTTGCTCTCATCTGGACTCCTCAGAATGTTAACAATCTCCTCCACTTTAAGCGCTGATGTTCTCCCTGTGATGTAAGGCCTGGGTGGTTTCAGACTTTTACACGCCATTTGCAAAGTTATAAATAGGCCCGTCGATAATGTTTCAAAGAGTATCCGTGGAGGTTCATTGTGTAAGAATCTCCATCAGTCACACAGGTGGGATACGCTATGAGCACCAAGGCTCCTTCATTTGAATCTGTAGTTGACAAAAAGTATATGACCTATTCACAAATTGCCGAGTTGCATCAAAGCAGTAGTATTCACGATGCAATTTCATCCCTTCATACTTCGGTTACATATTGATTATGTATAATGACGAGGCTACGTCACTTGGTTGCTATGTTTCTGAAGGTGACCTACTTCCGTGTTTGGGAATAACTGGCAACACCTGACTGCAGTTGAGTATTGACATAACAGTTGCCAAGCTACTGAATAACATTATCTTATGTGAGCATACTTAATATGTATTACTCTTTATTGACCGCCTCCTGGTCTAGTGGGTATGAAATGTCAATCGTCTGTACGATGTTAATTAGACTAAAATTGGTTTATATTTGGTGTGCAAGCTATATACAAAGGGTGGTGAACTCTGGTATAAAGTGTGTTTTAGTCTTTGTCAGTGATTTATAAGGATAGATAAAACACATTAATGGAGCAAGATCTGCAACGTGAAGTGTAAGATGCGCCGTGACCTACAGAGACCGGGGGCAACCTTGGAATGTACAGGCCTTGTTGGCTTATATACTGGTTGTATTGGTAAACAGTACAGGTGATCGTTGTGTTTGTGTAAGTTTTGGTCTTGTGTGTGGCGTGTGGGGTGGTGCGAAGCGAGAGTATCTGTCGGGAGAGCGGAAGTTCGGTGGTTTGATGGCCGGTCGTGTCATTACAAACAATGCTTTAACATGTTACTCATCTTGCTTTAACATTGTTAACCTTGTCTTGCGCTCGGCATTAACGGTATAACACAAAGACATGTCTTCGAAGTAAATATACTCTGTCTGAGTCATATTCATATTAAAAATCCCGCATTGTCTCTCAGTTGGCCAGCAATATCACGTCCTGACATCTTATATTTGCGTCTATTTGACAATGCAAACAAGAGTCCTTGAATTGTGGAATTAATCCTAAGAAACTTGGTATATTGGGTTAGTTTGTTTTCAAAACAGGTTTTTCGCAGAATATAACCAATACGAATTTACAATCTTGCCGTCTAGCGTCATGATCTCACAATGGACATGACGTGAGTCAGGCAAGTGTTAGTCACAGTTAGAAACCTCCTTGGATGCCATCTCTTGTTTCCGGAGGTTTCTGATAAGGTTGTTCCTTATTGCCTGGATCAACAGTGCTCAATGAAGTCCATGTAACCGTTGGGTTTTGGTACAATATTTAATATAACCTGTACCCCAAATTCCACAGGTAATTATATACTTTATAATAGTGTCTACTTCCACTGAAGGATGTCTCTATAAACATTGCAATAACCCGTTTCTTCTGGCAAGTCTTTATACATCTGTCTCCAGTACCTGTCATACCTGAAGTAAGTTCATACGATTCTTCGAACCTACAACGTGGCAAGTATTAAACATGAATACCTCTCTCAGACACTGTAAACTGACTCGGAGTCGACAAGGCTTTGTTTTATCTCCTTCATGGTGAGGCGTGAACGGGGATCGAACTACCGAACTTCCGGTTCTTTGGGCAGACAACGGAGCTGGTTTCAGAATAAGTGATAATGGGCTAGGTTTTGTTTATGGATGATGTGGGGACGTGTGAATGGTGCAGTATTCCTTTACTTGTATGGATTCGGTGCTAGGTCGATTAGGGTTTGTTCCTACTTTGATGAAATTTACTTTTGTTTAACTTTTGTGAGTGGCGGTCGGTGTGTAACTCATTAAGGGACATGTAGTCAAGGGAGATAGTGATAACATCAAACAAAGATAATGTTTTGTCTCTTGGTGACACAAGTTGGCTGATTAATAAGGTATTGCCAACATAGACGCGTGTTTAGAAAATACGTTTAATCTTTATCGACGATCTACAACTTTTGTAACATTTTTGTTACAGCTAGTATACTTGGGACAGTCTGAACAGATCAAGAGAGACAAACTATCTTCTGTGAATAGTACTTAAGCTTAGATAGTTTTATCGCCGAGTTGTAGTATTTGGGCATTGTAGTCTTTGACACTAAAGAATGCTTGATTCTGATTGCTTAAAAAATATGCTTTTTCCGACTGATAATTCTTTTAAATAAAGCCTCTTCACACAAGGAGTGTGAAAAGTATCGATCTATCGACAGCAGACGCATCGATGCATATAACAATGGCTGCGAGTAACCCATTACAATATTGCATACGTTCGATATCAGAACAACAGACATGAAGAAGTTTATATCAGAACACACACAGTTAAGTAAAACACACACCAACTACTATGCCAAGGCCACATAATCCTCAGTCGCTCTCGTGTCGATTGCCTGAAACTAACAGTAAACTTTAGTCGTTTTAATGCACAAATCGTATATCACAGAAGCAGGTACATATTACAAAACATTGCCTCGGACATACAATTCATATTATATTTGCCAAATTGTCATGCCTATTATCTTCTGCACACATCTAACAAATCAAGTAAAAGCGGTTATCATTCTCATGTATATTTAATTACTATCACATAGTGATGATACCAGGTGTTAGCGAAAAGGTTCTGTCCCACTGGTTGCTCCGTCGTAATCACATGCAAAAGAAAAGCCAGTGTTAATAGGGAACTGCATCGCACGTCATTTTTGCCACTGATGCGTCAAATTTGGAAAGGTCCTCTTCACCTCCCCTTGAACTTTGAAAACCTTTGCATGTAAACCGAGAAGGATGACGGAAGAGATTAGCGTCATGACGAAACACGTGTTAATACAGTTGTGAATGTTCACTCATCTGTACACTATAGCAACAGATTTGTATTGGTGATAAAACTAGTGCGTCTGAAAATCCGACTTTATGTGTCCAATATTCAACAACATCCCCTCTTACATTTTATAACGTTCATAGGACTAAGTATTTCAAGTTCTGTTTGCACCATCAAAGGCTTCTTCAAGTCATTCCACACATTTTATGGTAGACATTCAAAGGATGTTAGCAAATATAACAACGTTGTCAAAGTTATGCGCGATGCTATTCAATGCATCTACAGGGACGTTTCACTCCTCCTAACTTAATGGGACTCATTTTAATGAATCGGATGGTCACGACTGGCAACCCGGACGACGTGGATATTGCTCATGATAATGATCACTGGTCCAGAAATGTTCATGGTCAGGCCAATGTCGTGGTAGGAACATTGCACGCTTTCTTCAGTAAATTTGTGGGAGTGGCGGGTGTTACCAGTAGAGCAGGGCATGCTCACCATTTTACGAAAACCTGCTGTCATCATTGTCTTTCAGTGACCCATTCATATCATTACACTGCAGTGAGACAATCGCCATATCTTAATATCGATTTTGAAAATCCGAAAATCCGAAGATCCTTGCTGAAAGCACAAATATGTGGATACTCTTTCTTGTATGTTTTACGCTTATACACCTGACGACATTACTTGTATTTCACTTGACATTCCCAATAAGCAATACAAATTAACAGAAAAAGAAACTGTATATTTTGTCCCGTGTCCGTGCGTGCGTGCGTCAGTATGTTTCCTGTTTTCTAAGCCACATGATTGTCGCACATATGTTCCTTGTGTATCAAAAGAGATGAAGAAAATATGCTGATTGGACTGATCAACATACATATTTGGACATTGTTATCATCTTCATCCTGTGTTCAAGGTGCTATACTGCCTCCATATTGTGCAATGTGTATATGTGCCTGTATACAAACTTGCGTCCCAGTCTTACTACTTTACTCTAAGTGTACATGGATTTGTCTCATTTCCTTATCCATGTTCGAAAAACTGGAAACAGAGTCGATAGAGTTACCTCCCTTTGATCAGCTCTAACAAACGCACATTGACATTACTGACGACTGACAATGTATTGTCTACAATGTTTCTTCTATATTAGTGCACAGTGGACGCATTTGAACACCATGTCTACGACAATGGCAGATTGTGCGACGTAATGTATGTGATAAGAGAGGTTAGAAGTGAAATTGGGATAGGTTCTAACGACATCAATTCATAAACAGTGCAATGCTCAGGAGGTCAAATGGGGACCAGTATTTTTAAAGATGTATAGTGGAAAGATTTAATTTCACGTCTCATGATTGGGTGCTGGTTATTTGAAAGAAAGAGTTTTCGGTTTCACTACGTAAGTATATCAGAATATCTTAGTATGGTGTACAAATATCATTCCCATTTAATAATGATAATCATTATATACTAGTAATTCTACCATGGATTGGTAAATTACTCAAATCTGATGGGTCAATCAGAGGCTATTAAATCACACGAAACCCCCTCTGATTGAAACAGCTGGTTTGACGGCCGCATCACCGCGGAGGCTACATGTAATGTTCATGAAAAAGTACTTTTTTCAGTCATTGTCAATCTACATCTACCATTACAGGTTACAAAATGCAAAGTTGCGGCTGCTACAATATACCAAGTGTACATTTAGTGCAGAAAAGACGATAGAAATCTACAAAGAGAATTATTTAAGTTTTGGAGACAACAGAGAACTTAGAATTTGGCGCTTTTCTATGTACGACTGTGACGTCATATGTTTTGCGTCACAATGAACGAAATGACTTCATAATGGTGGCATGCGGTGTAGAGCAAAAGCCTTGCAAAGCTTGCTTAGTTTTCTTTAGGCATGCCCGCCTCATATTAGCCTCCCAAGTTGCCGTCCTTATATGCTTTCAATGCCTGTCATATGTTCGAGTGAAATATGTTAAAGGTGTTAACAAACTGCTTCAGGATATATGTATTTTGTTTACAGGCTGTTGTAGCTGATTCCGTAATTTAGATTGACAACCCATTCAAAACACTGGACTGGATACATTTGCTACACCAAAAAGTACGCGTTCTATTCACTCATGGTAGAATGGAGAAAAACATACTGTTTTTACATTGAAGGGCTAGTTTACCTTAGATTTAACTTCGCAAAATTGAATTTGTAACTGAACGCGCAGTCTACCTCCTAAGTATAACAGCCGCCTCCTTGGTCTTGTGGTAGAGCGTCCACCCGGAGAGCGGAAGGTCCTGGGCTCGAACCCCCGCCGCGTCATACCAAAAGACGTTAAAAGATGGTACTTATTGTTACCCTGTCCGGCGCACGACATTAAGGGCTAAAACAAGGAC